TATCCACCAGGTTTAACTGATTCGGAACTCACTTCGTGCTAAAAATTCCAATATCAGCCTCTATGAATTGGCAAAAAGACATTATGAGGCAGATTTGAAAGGTATGTATAGAGGCTGATATTGGAATTTTTAGCACGAAGTGAGTTCCGAATCAGTTAAACCTGGTGGATATGTTAACAAGAGTATTAGATTAAGGAGATTGGGTATTGAGTTCAAATGTAGTAGTACAGCTAGAACAAGCCTGGAGATGATTCGAGGTGGACAGGTTCGCAAGTCACTTAAATGCGAAAACCCAAAGATTCAACAGCCTGTATCTCTGCCCAAGGATAGAGGCAGTAGACTGTTTTACTCAAAATTGGGCGGAAGTAAGAAATTATATTTACCCACCCTTTTGTTTGATTCACAAGGCACTATGCCATGTAAAGAAATGTGGGGCATAGATAGTAATCATAGTCCCAGTATGGATCTCAGCCCCATAGTAGTCGTTAATAGTGAATTTAGCAAAAAAGGAGATCAACTTACCACCATCAAGCCAAATTATCTACCCAGAACCATTGGGAAATTTGGAGTCTTGCAAAAACAGCCAATAGGCATTAAAGACAGTGCTTCTAGATTGGTCAGAGAACTTTTAAAAAGAGCAGCTTATTTGAAGAACAGATCAATCAGTGAAGAGTACAGGAGACGTCTGGCTAAGGCTCAGAGTGTATTTAATAGGTTTGCTTGTTGGGTTGAGATGCCCCTGTATCTAGCATCAAGAGAGCTATTGGTAGCTTTTCTGGCTTAGCTAGAGCTATCAAGAAGGACAGCTGAAATACCGATCTGCCTAGCGGCAGTAGCTAGAGAACATAAAGTAAGAGGCCTTGAGGACCCTACAAAGTGCAGTTTGGTTCAAATAATTGTAGAAGGAATTAAGAGAACAACTCCCAAAGAAAGGGTAGAGGCCAAGTAGCCAAGAGACCTGCTGCTAGTTTCAGTTATTAGGAGGTATATTGATTGCCCACCACCTAGAGTAAATGTAGTTCTGTGGGCACGGGATTTGGCATTAATAGCGTTAGGATTAAGAGCTATGCATAGGCCAGGGGAACTATGCAATTTGAGAAGATCAGATGTTTTAGAAAGGGACGAAAAGTTGTGGATTAGGGTGGCAAGGTCAAAGATGGACCAATTGGGAAAAGGCAAGTTTATTCCAGTTGAAAATCAACAAATGGAGTGTGTTCAGTGAAGTTGTTGGCTTGTTATTTGAGGCTACGGAGTTACAGCACCTGAGAAGCCTCTGTTCTTGTCTAAAAGTGGGGAAAAGTTATCTGTTTCAGCTGTATCTTCTATTGTCAAGCGGTTTGCAGAAAATGCTGGGCTACATGGAAGGTATACAGCGCATAGTTTAAGGATTGGCAGTGCAACTGTGGCCTTGAAAGGGGGTATGACAATGGAACAAATTCAGTCAATTGGTGGTTGGACATCAGAGGCAGTACAGGTGTACATGAGGGCGATTAGCACCGCCAAGTTGGGGGCCTCTAAGCTGATGGGCTTCGACTAGCCAAGAAGTGAAGTTGTAAGTAACATTTTTTAAAACCAGGCCTCTATGTGGCATAGTAATTGCTTGTGATGCATGATCGTATGATGCATTGTATGATCTTGTATGTGATTTTATGACGTAATGACATAGTATTTGAGATTAGTAATCGTTAGTAGTATTTAAGTGAAATGGGGTTTTTTCCCATGAAAGGTAATTTCTGTTTTTTCTGCTAACCCGACTTTGTCTGGTTTTTTTGCCCCGCCCTACCCGACCCTCGTACTCGAGCTTGCAGCAGCTTAGGAATCATACTTTTTTTGAAATAGGAGTGACCTGTCGGGATGACAGTCACATGAAATTTTCTTGCTAGCCATATATATGAAAGTGGCCTGCGAGATGACAGCCACGTATACTATAAACTATATAATAAACTAATAAAATGATAAAATATATAATAAATATATAAAATATATAATAAAATTTAAGAAAAAATATAAGAAATTCGAGTTTTATAATAGGTGGCCTGTCGGGATAACAGTTGTATTGTTGGATTGTTGGTTGTAAAATTGACCTGTCGGGACGACAGTCATAGGTTTGGGAATTGTTGATTGTAAAAG